GGGCGCACCAACGTCGGCAAGTCGACGCTCTTCAACCGCCTCACCAAGTCCCGGGCCATCGTGCACAACGTGCCGGGCACGACGCGTGACCGCCGCTTTGGCATCGTACGCGCACAAGCTCTTGCGTCTTGCTCATGCAATGTAGGGCTACTTGGTCGGCCTGGAGTTTGATGTGATCGACATGGGCGGTCTCGCCGATGCACCCACGGGCAGGTAGACTTCGCAGTGTCCAATGGACCGTGGTCTCATGTGGCTCTAGCTTAGCAAGGCATATTGTCGCAAACCGAGCGCGCACTCCATGAAGCCAACTTGATCTTGTTCTTGGTCGATGGGCGCGAGGGAATCACGGAGATTGACAAGCACTTTGCTCGGTACTTCGTCTTGCTGCATGCGACGCCCAATATGCTCAAACAACGTAGCTGGCTGCGCAATGTCGTCCCCAAGACGCCGATCCATCTGATCGCCAACAAGCTCGAAGGCGACGCGACGCGGTAGATACCCAACATTCACGAGTGCCACACACTGGGCATGGGTACAACATTTCGCGTGCGCTTGTGCTCGTGGCCAACAAGTCGGACCTTGTCGAGAACGCAGCAGCCGAGATCGAGCGCATTCGCAAGGAGCTTGATGGGTCGCTCGCCCAGGTATAGCGGTTCCACGTTTGTCGCTGACGTCGTACGCTACTACTGTAGAAGGTCCGTGGTGTGCCCGTAGTACATATCAGTGCACTCACGGGCGTCCGTGGTCTTCTCCCCGAAGTGTAGGTTGGTCGATATCACAGCCTGTTGCTTACGCCGGCGTGATGCCACCCTGATAGCATCGAAGCCCACAACCGGTGCGACTTGCGCGTGACCACAGGTCGCCTCAACCGGTGGCTCGCGGCCATGGACCGCCTTGCTAGACGTACTCTTCATGGTGCCCTTAGTGCCCCGGCCATGGTTCGGGGTCCAGCGCCGGACGACTTGACCATGTCGCTCCATTTTTGTTAGATTATTGCATTAGGCTACAGTACTAATATATACATGTATCATTATGTACACTGCTCGTGTTTATCCGGGTGCAACGGTCAATGAAGCTGCTGGTTGGGGTTTGGGGCGAGGTGAGTTGACGGCGTCCGCGGCCCGAAAGTCGTCCGCGAGTTGCGCGGGGGTTCTCCCGGCTCGAGAGCGTAGTACTGCTCGATCGTCTCAATGGCGTTACAGCTCATCTCCTTCGTGGCTCCGTTGCGTGCGTCCTTGGGTCTCTGGTCTTGTACCCTGCTTCTCCACCACTTGCCGTACACACACGGCCAAGCGCATAGACCAAAGGGAATCGCTTCGTTGCTATTTGGGGATGAAGTGCTCTCCAACTGGCGGGTGTGTATCGTCTCTACGTGCCTAGTCGCGCCTTGTCGGGACTTCAAAGGGGCGTGCGATTAGAGTGGATCACCACAGAAGTAGTCCATGGCATCTGGCTGCCGAACCAGACGATATGGCGACTTGCAACGGACGACATGGCAAACCCAATGCTCCTGTTGTGCAGAACAGTACAAGTGCTCGAGTGGATCGTCCACAAAGTGCAGAGTTGGAGCTTGACGCTACTGCCTCCACCGCAACCGTGGACTTGTGAGGCTCACTAGTCCACGAGAGCGCCAGGCGAGGCCGCACCAGAATGACTAAATTTGATGAAAACATGTATTGCATTAGCAGTTGATTATGCACGCCAACTAGCATTTCCGAAAGCGGCTTCGTGGGAACAAGAACTCAAACGTCGTTGGGGCCGGGCGCCGTGGGCTCGTTGGTAGTCGCAGCGTCGTTGGTGGTCGCAGGCTCGTTGGTCGTTGCGGTCCCATTGGCGGTGGGCGTCGCTTGGACGTCGAGTGGACGCGCCCAAAAGACTGAGCCGTCGTCGCGCGCGTGCTGCACGACGCCGTGAAAGTTGCCTTTGGGGTCTCCCTTTCGCACAAATTCGACCAAAGTCGTACTGAGAGCCTCCTTGGCCAAGCTCAATCCCTTCACTGCCATCTTGAGGCCACTGAGCACTTTCTCCATGATGGGAACCGCCAGTAAAAGACCAGGCACTGGCACCACGTCCGCCACCGTTTTGGCCGCCTTCATGAACTTGACGCCGTACTCGCACGGAACCAGAAGGCTGCAGATGAGTTTGAGGCGCTCCTCGGAACGCGACGGGAGCGACATCGGGTAAATCTCGGAGTCCGTGAGCACAGGCAAGCCCGTTCGCTCGTCGACAATGTAGAGAAACCCGCCGCTTTTGCCGGCCAGGAACTTCTGCGACGGCTCTTGAAGCACGGGATTGTCGGGGTCGATGCGGTGCTCGGAAATGATGAACGACGTCGGGATGACATGGCGCTTGGACTATAAAATGTACATGAGACATTGATGAAATCAAAGTGGACGCACCTCGAGAATCGTTGTCGCTGTCGCACGACGCGCGGCCAAGAGCTCGCCGGACAGATCGTCCAAGCGATCAAGAAACTCGGCGCGCACGTCTCGAGCTGCAACGTCCTGACGCGCCAAAGCCGCTCGCGTCACGGCATCGGCTGCGTTGAATTGGTCCGTAAAGTCGGCAAACATCTGGCACATCGGAGTCAAGTCGACCTCAGCCTTGCGGTCGGCCGACAAGGTCGTCATGTTGGCCGTGTATGCGCTGAGAGCGTCCGTGAGAGCGGACAACTTGGCAACCTCTTGCCGCACGACAAGATTGCCGTCGGGGCGCTCGTCGAGCGAGACGCGCTCGATCTGCTCCTCGATGCCGCCGCCGTCGACCCGGCGACGAATCGCCTGGACTTGCA